ATATATTTTTTGTAACAGTGCAGAGAATGGGATATACTTAATTAGTGAAGATATTATAGACTGCAGTTAAGCCCAGAATATCCCGTGTTCCTCATGCATGCTCGAATTCAACCCTCTATCATTATGCAGACGTTAGCGTTAGCACAGCAGATGGCAAATTGGTATGGATGCGAGTCTCGCAGTTGCTGTGTTTGCATTACACAACTTGCCAATCTTTCACACCACAACTGTGCGTTTGTGCGAAGCTCGTGTGTTAAAAATATCCTGCTGTTTCTCACTATTCTTCCACTTTATACCTCATAGCCTCATCATCCTGCTTTCGGCGGCAGTTTGTTGTAAAAGTGCAAAGCCTGCAGTCAAGGTTTTAGCATAGTTATGCTCCTCGTGTACTTCATATACTGCTGTTTTTTTGGAGTAAACACAGCTAATTTGTTGTTGTTGCACGTATTCTTGCAATTCTCGTCTGCCAAACTTGCAGAATGTGCTATGTTTTATCAGTCTCAACAATTTAATTGAGCCTCTAACGTAGCACCAGGCTAAAAACAAACCTTTCTCATGAACAGGGACTTTCACTGTTTTTTTACTATTTAAAAAAATGCAGCTTTCCTGCTTCACATCACCAATGTCTGAATGTTCATCTTTTCTAACATCTGCCTCTTAATGCTCCCTTTATTGTTTTGAAATTGTTTTGTTTTTTTGTCTTAAAGATTCATGGATGTAGTGAAGGAAGACATGATGATGGTTGTGAAAGTAGAAGAGCCGGTGATCTTTTGCAACAACTGCTGAAGAGAGCAGACGGTTGCAAAAATTGGCAATATATATTCCAAAATTGAATTTTTAACACTTTGTTGGTATTTTCAGTGGTGACAATACCAACAAAACATTGTTGGTATTTGAAATAGAAGACTCGGGTCAGATTGTTTACAAACTGTAAACAAAAAACCATGCTGATCTTGTCAAAGAGCCTAGAAGTAAAGTTTTTAGGAGAAATACAAACACGACATTCTGTCTGCTGTTTTTTCTATCTTAAGGTTGGACAACAGAGTGGAGAAAAAGTAAACAATTTCCTCCTGGTCCTAAAAGAGATGGACAATTCCTCGGAACTGGTTTGTCCATTCAATATACAGTTATCTTAGCATAAATCATAAAACGCGAGTTCTATGCACATCACTGGAGACACATAACTCCTTTGACTCTAAGTTGACATGGAGATGCATCACTTAGATGCTAATGCTAATGACTGGAGGATATATTACTGGCATAAGAAGTGCTTATAGAAGTAAAGCCATCAGTGTTGGCAGAAGGAGCTGATCACGTTGAGCAGACACTAATGTCATCTCCACCCTTTGCAATTTGGACGTGCAAACTTCTGTTGCATAATGATAACAATGCAAATTGAATCTTGAATCATTCATGTTTCATTTAACACACAGGATCACAAGTCCTGTGACTGGAGATCTAATAAGTCAAACCTTCTTCTCCGAAGCCTGCTCTTACACCGACACGTCTTTCTCGGGCCACAGCTTGGGACATTATCCAATTAATGTGGAATCAGCTAGGTCAATTTGCCCTTTTCTCCCCTGACGGCAACACATTTTCCTGCATGCTAATGCCACTCAGAGGTGAGCTGTGACAGCGAATGACTAATGTAACGCCGTGAAATCCTGGGAGGCTGGCTGTGAGGCGCTGACCAGTTCAACAATCTGAGCGGCATCGCGGGTCGGCAGGCTAATGGCGTTTAGCACGGTGACGGCGACAATAACAGCACAGGCGATCTGACACAGACTGACGGAGTACTTAAACAAACTGGGTTAAAGGTCATCGGCAAAATGTCACCGCAGGATAGGGACGTCTGAAGGAGCTAGAGGCGACTGCTCCGAGCTCTCAATTATAGGATGAAACCTGAATGTTAATGAGAGGTTATGAGATAATCTTCCTGAGCTGGAAGCAGCGAAGCTTTGGGTTTGTTCATTTAAACATTTAATAAGCTTCCTGATCAGTAATTAGTCAGGACAATGATTACACAGTCCGGCAAACGCTTCAGGTAAAAACCACACTGAGTTTGGTAAACATGTCTCTGTGTCTCTAAATGAGCTCACTTCCTCCTTTTTCCTAAGAGGCGACACGGCCCATTAAAAAAACTGTAGTGACTTAAATGACCTCCGCTCAGTGTCATTACCTTTTTATTGTCTTCTTCCTGCCTTTGACATGAAGTTTCATCAAGACTCATACAGTAAATTGCCAGCTTTACCTTTCATGGGTGACTTCACATCAAGTTCTGTCCCCCACATCAGTCATCTGTCAACGTGTGTCGCCACAGGTCAACAGTCTAACAAACTCTGGACACAACTGGATTATTTTTATGCAGCAACTTAACAGATCTGGACTGGTCACTCCACCTCCTTGTAATTTCAGTGAAAATGTCATCCTCATGAGCAAAAAAACCCAATCCTTAGCTCAATGCTTTTTTCATACGCTAATTTCAATTCCCAATCCTGTAACCAGTAAACCCTAATGAATCAATCTGTCAGAATTCAACTTCCTTTGTGACCTCATTTGTTTTTGCCTTCGTCTAAAAAGGAAATAGGAGATTTAGGGATGCAGCATGAATCCATTTTTTGCTTTTTTAATTTGATTATTAGAATGTAGTTTGTCTGTGAAGACAGCTATAAGGTTTCACCATCTGTTCATTAAAACTCAACATAACGTTTTCTTTAACGTGAATTTGTTTTTGTCTCCGTTTTTTAACCAACACCAGGAACCACATCAACCTGAACGTGTTCACACTTACATCCAGTGCATGCAGATGCATTAGGGTTGCAAATGCAGCCAAGATATGCACAAACACTCCATCACCTTGTTGGATTGTAGTCCGCTCCGGGGAAAATATCCTGTCTCTGCTACTAATTAATGTTACTCATCTATCAGTGGTATCCAGTGAACAGAGGCAGTAATTAAAAACATTAGAGGAGTCTACCAATGAGCCAAGGAGAGCACAGATGAGGGAGAAAGAAACTTTAACAGTGGTTAATGGGATTTGGACTCAAACATTGAGAACCTTTTTTAATATTGAATCCTGGCAGAGAAACCTGAGACCACTTTTTTTTTTGCAGGTATCTGCTGTCAGATGGTTGCGATGATAATAATGATGGTGATGATAATGAGTGTATTGTCAGCACACATACACACAAAAAAGAAGACACAGAGAACATTCTCAACAAAGTCATGAAGCAACTGACGTGTCAGTTTCCAGCCGAGTGTTTGAAACTTTTCAAAATGTAGCAGTGCTTCAAATCACTCTGCTTCCTCTACTCAAAGCTCTTTGGTACACTTTGTTGGGAACTTTTGCGTCTGCCAAGTACACATTCATGTTGAATCAGTCAGGAGTACTTCAAGATCAACTCTAAGTAAAGACACTCACTTCAGAACAGTGAAAGTGGAACTGTTGGAACTTCTAAATCAAATCAGATGTAATCCTTCAACAGTGGCAGGGCTCAATCACTGCCATTAAATCAGTCAGTGTCTGTTGTTTGTTAGCCATGAACTCTGTGTAACAGAGCACCAGAAGGTGAGACTCCGACCTTATTTTATTGTATGAGAACAAACAATGCTGGCAATAAAGAGTGCAGTGAGGAAAAAACAAGACGATCTGAAGAACTCAGTTGTATTTTAAAATGCAACTATTGTGAAGATATGAACTACAATATATTTTTTTACCAGTTTGGTTCAAATACGATTTGAGACTCTTACTACCTTTCCAATAATTATAGAAAAAGTGGTGTTAGATATTCATTACCTGTTTATTCATAAAAAAAAAATCTGACCTCACAGACAAAAAAAAGCTAAAAAAAAAAAAAAAAAAAGCACACACAGTGCCTGCTCCCAAACAAATGCTATTACACAAATATGTTTCTGATTGTGTCCTTGGGGTTATTTCCATAAACCACAGCATTTACAGTTCTAATGGTGGGAATATTCTGTTCTATTGTAAACATTGTGCTGCACAGCTGAGTAACAATAGAAGTGTTTTGGGAAATGGATGATTTTACCACTAGCAAACAAATGGCATCCACGTCTGGTGTAATTGTAAAATCTCAAATATCTGAAATTAACATCTCAGCGGGAAAACATTATGAGTGGAAAACAAAAGGATTTTTAATCCTGATGTTGAGTTGTTAGTTATGAAGAAAACAGGACGACGTGCGTCTGTCTTCTGTGTCATGATGCTGATGCTTCTTACTGTTATCGCTGTTGTCGTCCACCAGGATTATCTCTTTAAGGAGATGGGAAGGCGTTCTGTTGATTGCAGAGTGAATGGATCTCAGGATGACGGACAGAGCCTCATTCACGAAAATGAACACAATGCTGACTTGAGGGAGATTTAGAGGATAAGTGATGTTCCTGCACCTGCAGAGGACACAACAACAACGAGGGCGACATTTAGCTCTGCGTCCTGTGGGCCGACCGACGAGTCTGACACTGACGCGTAGGGAGGACAATAATGTCACATTCACATGCTGACTACAACCTGTTTCCAAAAATAGAACAAGTCCATGACAGGGGCAGGCTTTTAAGAAATATAACGGTGAGAGTAGCACTCCTAAAATATACTAATTAAATGGATTAGCACGGCCCACAAAAACGTCCACTGAACAATCTGTTAAAATTAAAACTAACATAAAGTCAATGAGGGAAGGCGGCCTTTAAATCCACTTTGGTTGTTTGTTCTGGAATTCAAAATCACGGTGTTTATGCTCACAATTAATTGAGTTCATCTGCCCAAGGCTGCACGGTGGTACGGTGGCAAGAAAATCATTTAAATGTTGTTTGAGTGTGTGTGTGTGTGTGTGTGTGTAGGTTTTCTGTGTTGAGGTTTGTTTTCACTCACAGTCCAAAACCAAGCAGGAATAGGTAAAATGAACTACATAGTGATCCGGCATTTTCCATACTAACTTTTACATCTTAATCAGTTGAAGTCAGTTTGTACCATTATGCTGATTATTCTTCACAACACTATATATATATATATATATATATGTATATATATATACATATATATAAAAACACTCTTTTCCACTCAAACTGATTTAAGAGGCTAAGGATCAATACCTTATGTTCACGTCATAAAAATCTCAGCATAATGAGATACACTGACAACAAGTCTGGAATTGCCATCTGCGATATGAGGGAGGAATATAAATCTCTGCTTGATGTTTGTACAGCAGGTGAGGTAAAACTGTGACTCTGTTTATGACAGCAGCCTGTGTTATAATGGGAAATATGAATCTAAAAATACTGGCAGTCAGGACCAGGGTCTTGACCTAGACGTCCTTTACAGGATCAGAACCGAAGGGATGAGAAAAATGAAAAAATATATATATGTAGTTAATAGTAGTTTTGTACTACCCTGGGGCAAGACAAAAGATGCCTCAGAAAATACGCATTTTATTCTGTATCTCTCTGTCCTATTTTGCAGACATTGGGAATTTGATGTTTAGTAAAATTAAGCTTCTTACAAAGAAGCAAATTGCACCTGAGAGACTAAAGTAAAGTTAGAACCACTGGCCTGGAGACAAATTCTTAAGTGCCTAAAAGAAAGACAAAACACACGTCGGATCTTTGAGCCGTGTGAACGTTGGTAAAAGGAAGTAGCCCTTTGCTGCTGTTTTTACAATCTTGAAGATGTGAACAGAAGTTATACAAATAAAACACCCAGTGTGACGTGGCTAACATGGCTCTACCTGTGCATTTATCTGAGCATTTGGTAATACCAGAATGGTACTTTGTCGTTTCTATTTCAGACAGTGGAGTTCTTAGTTTGACCCAGGCTGCGCCGTGGAGTTTAAACACTGAGAACAACTGGCAACCACTGCAGTTATCTGCTTTTCTGACAGGTCATAAATTACTTTCTGTTTTATTTTGAAAAAAAAAAGTGTTTCATCTTACTGGTGTAAGTTCCTGATGTTAAAATTATCTAAAATATCAGGTGTTTTTTGTTGTATTGAACGTTGAGTTCCAGACCCACTGTGTCAGTCGAGACTTGTGGTGTATTTAAATCCTGGGCACAGTTTTCTTTCTTTCTCAGCAACTACAGCACGACAGACACTGGAATTAATTTATCTTCCTCCTAATGCGTTGACTACACTTTTACCTGGCATTTTGTACATTGACCCAAATTACTGCTGGGTTAATTTCTTTACAGAGGACAGAGAGCGAACCATGCTCTCTATGTTGGTGAACATTATTAGCAGCATTTTTCAACTGGAATGTCACTAGATTTATGTGAAGCCGGTAAGTCCTGAAAGGTTGTTGAGTCTAATGACAAAGTCAAATGAAGCCTAGAAACTGAAGCTCTGCTCTGGAGTTTGATGTTACCATCCCACACTCCTGGGACCAGAGAGATCTGCTTCAGTGTTCCTCATTGAAGACACCATGACATGGATGTGCAAAACTTCACTAGTTCATTCACCGACAAGGAAGGAGAATTTTCCAGGATAACTTTAGCATTTCCATGATATTTGACTATTTCTTTTTATTATTTTCCAAATGTATTTTATGGAAAAAATGTCATTCGTTGTTCTGGTATTTTAAGGATATGTGGGAACCCTGTCATGGAGTCAGTTTAGAATTGTACAGTATACCAACTCTTCTCATTCTTTTCCAATCTCCCTGCCTACTGGTTACATGGTTCATGAATTCAGTTAATAACTCTTTAAATGTGAAATCATGTAACCGTGTCAAAGACATGTGCAGACAGTGCTCTCTTACCCATCAGGTCTCAGGTCTGGTATTGGTCTGTGTAAGGAGAGGCGATCGCTGAGGTAGCCATTATAGCCATAATACTGGAACATCTTCAGCGCCACTCTCCTGTTGTCTGGACTCAGATCCTGACCCCAGTGAGTGAAGAGTGAAGA